CTCGGGTTTAGGGGAGAGATAGCCAGCTGCAGCTGGGATGCGTAACTGCCCCCAACCTATATTTGGGAGACTTGGCACCTCTGTGCCAGTTTTGCCACATTCAGGCTGGCATTGCCAGCCTCTAGTCCTGGGCCCCTGACTCCCTGCCCTCCAAAGCTACTGTTTGTGGCTGAGACATTAATTAATTAAATGGACAGGGAAACCTGACTGGCAGGGGTCCCTGAAGTACCATAATAAGCAGGACTAGCAGCAGCAGCAGCACCCTCCCCTCTTGTCTTTCAATCCCACTAGAGAAAAGCCCTTGCTTCAGCTTTTGGGGCCTGGAAGGCCTGAGCCCTCTCAGAAATGGGCCCAGCAGTGAAGTCCATTCTAGAATCACAGTTTTCCTCAATCTGGTTAGCAAAGGCTTAGACTTCATGTAACTAGAACCCAGGACAGCTGTGTCCTAGGAAGTAAGTCCTAGGGATGCTGTGAACTCTGGGTGTGATGCTAGCAAATAGTTACACCAGCACCAAGCCAGAGGTGGAGCTAGGAAGGAACAGACAGGTGACAGGAAGTGGGGTGCTGTGTTCTGACCTGGGGCTCAGGTATAAGTCCTCCCTGAGGGGTGCTTCTGAGCATCTGTTCAAGAACAGGCCCCTGTCATTGTTTTTCCTGCTGGCTGTTTTCCCACCTAGGGCTCAGGATTCCGCTGGAAGAATCTCAGCCAGAGTCCTGAACAGCATCGGTGAGTCACCCCCTCCCCAGCCCCTGCTGGGGAGGTGCTGGGGTGGGGTGGGGAGGGAGGGTGTGACACAGCATCTCAGTTCAGCCCCCTGGGGAGGCTTCTCCCATCTTTGACTTTTCTGCTGGGATAGAGGGGCAGGTAGGGGTGTGGGCTGTGTGAAGGGGTGGCAGAATCGGGGGGGCCACTTTTGAGTCATTAGGTGCTCCTTAACCACCCCCAATCTCTGCCAATTGCCTCTTCTTGGGAAGATCTGGATTAGTGAGTGGTGGAGGGGGGAAAGTAGGAGACACTGTAGAAATGTCCTGACCTGTCCTCTGTGGTTTCCCTGAGCCCAGCAAGTTTAGTGGGGCCAGGCCATAGGCACCCTGTCTAGTCTGACTAGTTTTGTGCCCCAAACCTGGCCCCTATGATGGTCTCATCCTGTGGCTGCCCTTTAGGAAGAACCTGAGATGTGGACAGGGGTAGGTGTTCACCCTACCTGGAGCCCAGTTTCCTCTTTTGCCTGTGTCCCATTGTCTGATTTGGGCCTGACTACCTCTGACGTGGACCAGCAAACTGTGGATTTGGCCTGTTTAGCCCTTCAGCTAAAAATTTCTCATTCTCTCTCTCTCTCTCTCTCTCTCTCTCTCTCTAATACTTTAAAGAGTTATAAAAATAAAAATGAATGTTACAATGACAGAGGCTATATGGGACCCACAAACAAAACCTAAAATATTTACCATCTGGCCCTCTGTAGTACAATTTCACAGACCCTTCCAGAAGAGCACTGAGACAGACACAGAACTTCCAGGCCTCCCTGCTCCTGCCCCAGAACACACAGGGCTAACGGGTTCCTTCAAAGGTGTGGGGCAGTGCTGCACAGCACTGGGGAACAGGGGGTGTGATTCAGGCTAGGAGGGGCCTGGGCACCAGGACCTTTCTGAGGCTTCCAGACTCAAAGGGGCCTTAGGAGCCACTTTATTCTGCTTCTAGCTGGCGGGAAGGAAGGGGGTGGGGTGGGCAGAGGAAACTCAGCTCCCCCTAGCAAGCCAGGATCTGGAGAGGTTCCAGACCATTGTGTCCAGCGGGCAGCTCTCAGTTCGGGAAGGGGTGGCCTCAGGCTCCCTTCCCCCAACCCTCACATCTGGTGGGCTGGCCCCACCACAGTTGGGAGGAGCAGCTGTGGTCTGTGCCCAGCCTCGTGACTGGTCTCTGGGGGTGGGGCTGTCTTCTCCCCAAAGCCATGGAGCCAGGAGACTCCAGCCTGAGGCCGAATTGGGGGCCTCAGCTAGTCAGTGGGTGTACCGCAGAACTGACTAGAAGGTTGGTGTGTAGCTAGTGTATTCCTCTCTCATGGCCAGCCTTTCTTGATGTCTCCCTCCCTTGCAGGAGGCTGGTTTAATTCTGTGCAGTTCCCTGAGGCCAATTTTAGTTGCGTTTGGGAAGGACATTCCAAAAATCTATGCAGAATGAGTTGTCACTGGAGACTCTGGATCCTTCTGGGATGTTTTAGATCAGACTTCCACATCCTTGCGAGCTAAGCTGTGGGACTGCCATGCTCCTGTTTTTGTTGTATTTTGAGACAGGGCCTCACTGTGTAGCTCAGGTTCAAATTCAACATCCTCCTGCCTCAGCCTCTCAAGAGCTGGATTTACCAATGTGGGCCACCACAGCCAACTCTAACATGCTTCTCTTAATTCTCATTCTGATCTTGACCCCTGTGCCTTCTGCAGGAAGGTGCTGACTTTGGAGAAAGAGGATAACCAGACTTTCGGCTTTGAGATCCAGGTGGGAAAAGCTGGGAACAGAGGGTTGTTGAGGGTCGGGAAGCCAGTTTGAGGGATGGACAGACCTACCTGTCTCTGGCCTGAGTGTACCCTTGCTTGTTACAGACTTATGGCCTTCACCACCGAGAGGAGCAGCGAGTAGAGATGGTGACCTTTGTCTGCCGAGTTCACGAGTCCAGCCCGGCCCAGCTGGCTGGGCTTACACCAGGTAGGTGTGACCTGACATGGCTCTGGGACAGGGTAAGCACAGGTACAGCAGATCTCTCCTTTGTCCTCTGACTTGGAAAAGGCCAGAGAATAGACAGAATCTGGACTTTGGATCCCAGCACATTTGCTATTTACTGTGGGATCATGTCCGGTTTTGCAGTCTGGTTTGCAAAAATGGAACTACAACATGGTGAGAGGGTTTGTTGGGCACAAAGCAGGGCCTGAAAAATAGCAATGTTACTGCTTCACTGTTCCTCTGCCTCCTGGTAGTTGGGTAGTCCAGCCTGGGCAGGAGCTGGTGGGGAACAGCATTCTACTAGGTCTGTCTCACATGGCCATGAGAACCTACCCTACTCCAGTTGGGGTGCCTGTGTTATATCCACTAACAATGAAATGATGCTCCAGCAAGAGACCTTGAGATTGGGAAAATGTCGAGCCCTCAGGTCTCAGGAAGGGACAGACAGCCTGAGACTACACGAATCCATTCATTACTTGTTCTGTCAGCATGGGTGTCCTTTGGTGCTTACCTACCTCCCTGCTTACTGACCAGCAGTGCTTTGCAAGGTAGTTTCTCATCCATCTGCCTCCTGATTATCCTTGAGGTGTCACAGCAGGAATCCTTACAGATGGCAAAGACACTCTTAGAGAAGGTAGTATGCCCTGCTTAGGGTCAGGGCTCTGCAGGGCCTGACTGTCAAAATCTGAGCCCTCTCACATGCCTAGTTCCAGTGTTGGTTCCCAGTTGGGCACTACCCACTCTGTGCCTTTCCTGTCCAGAATGGTTCTCGTGACAGGTGTGGGTTAGGCAGAAATAACTGCAGGAGCAGCCCACATGACTGGGAGGGCTGAATGTTGGGGGACAGACTGTCCTGAGGGTGTGTTTGTGACAGCTTAGTCCTTCTGAGGTCCCTGGTACCTAGGCTAGGCTGTTGTATCCAAACAGGCTGGTGGTCTGTGGGCAGGGAGAGATGGCTGTAGGTTTATGTGGTGTAAAAGATATCCAGGTCTCTCCACAATTGTGGAGCAGACAGAGAAAGCTCAGTTATGGTTGTCATCCTCCCCTTTCTGGCCAAGATAAGGACTGGAATCCTTCTCTCATGCCCCAAGGAACAGGTGCTGACCTCTTCTCTTCCTGGCAGGGGACACCATTGCCAGTGTCAACGGTCTGAATGTGGAAGGTATCCGGCACCGGGAGATTGTTGATATCATCAAGGCATCTGGCAACATTCTCAGGTATCCATGTCTGGATGCAGTGACTATGAGCTCCTGAGCTCAGACTGTTAGTTGTCTTCTCAGCCAGAGGGCCCAGCCCGCTCAGCTTTTGTCCCCTCATATCCCTCAGACTAGAAACTCTGTATGGGACTTCCATTCGCAAGGCAGAACTGGAGGCTCGCCTGCAGTACCTGAAGGTAAGGGCCAAGGATGTCCAGGCTCCACCTCCTCTTCCCATGCCCTGCCCTTCAGGCCTACACCTTCGGGGGTCATTCATCTGTCTCAACCTCCTCCAGCCTGGTGGCTTCTCTGCCTACTCCCTGACCCATGTGTCCCCATGCCCTGCTGCTGTTCTTCTAGTCCTGACAGTTGGCCGGATGTGTCTTGCAGCAAACCCTGTATGAGAAGTGGGGAGAATACAGGTCGCTAATGGTACAGGAGCAGCGGCTGGTGCATGGTAAGTCGGGATGTGAAGGATCACCGCTCCCTCTGGCTCCTGCCTCTCCATGGTGAAGCAGTGTCTGTGGAACTTTGGGCACCACACTGTCCTGAACTGATGCAGGCTGTTTAGTTGGTCTTACAGTCGCCCTCTGAAGGTTAGGGTTAGGTACTGACTGCCATTTTCCAGTAGGGAGCACCAAAACTCAAAGTTGTGTCAGTCCAGTCCTTGGCCCTCTTTCCTGTCCTGAGTGGCACTCATAGGAATTTGAGCTTTTAACTCAAGAGTTACAGTCAAGGAGTTTGGGTTCAGGGCCCATATAGATGGGCAACAGGAAGGAGCTGGATCTCCAGCAGGTGCCCTCCGGGAACCTCCCTGGTGCCTTCTGCCCCCACAGGCCTGGTGGTGAAGGACCCAAGCATCTACGACACGCTGGAGTCGGTGCGCTCCTGTCTCTACGGCGCGGGCCTGCTCCCGGGCTCTCTACCCTTCGGGCCTCTGCTGGCCGCGCCTGGCGGTCCTCGCGGGGGCGCGCGGCGGGCCAGGGGGGACACCGACGATGCCGTGTACCACACATGCTTCTTCGGGGGCGCCGAG